CGGTTGCTTTGTAAAAGAAAACAACAGTGTTTAGTTGGAGGAGAATTCTGAGCTGCGAACCTGGTTGGCTGTACCTCTGTCATCTTCTCCTTGGCAATTTTGACTTCTAGAGATATAACCTCAGTATTTTCTAACCCATTTAAACCTGAGGTAGCTGCCTACATTCACAACAAGGGTTTTGGTTCCTGAGAAACAAAGCAAAACCAAGAACCACTACAAATGAGTGTTCCTAGCTCTCCTTCTGTTGATGTAAATTTTATCTTCCAGGAAGTAGACCTTTTAAGGGTGATTTGGTGGCGCCCCAACATTCAGGGGAGGCACTTGCTAACTGTTAATAAACCAGAGGAGGAGTAAGAGGTGGCAGGAAAGGCGGTGGACCCCTGGGGATCTAGGATTGGTGCAGAGAATTAAAAAGACAGAGAACACTAAGGGAAGAGGAAGTGGTAAGGTCCAAGTGGCAACAGGATGAAGTCAGGCTGGGGCTTTCTAGACATGCTAGTGCACAACGTGCAGTTGCTGGGACCAGCGACACCCCACGCATCCAAACTGTCCCGAGATGAAAGCACGTTAGCCACGGATGTCATTACTGGTCATTGGTCCTCAGGGAGATTTTAAGAGTAGAACCAGGAATGCCATTTTAAGACAAATCATCTTTGTCTTCATCTTCAAGCTGTACTGACCAGCTACTCTCTATATTTAGGTATTATACCACCATTGAGAAGAACTCAGAGGGCTCGGGGCGATAGCTCAGTAGAATAAATGCTTGCTTGGCCAGCGCAGGGTCCTGAGTTCAATTCCCAGTTTAATAGCAGAGAAGAACTCAGAGTTTGTGAGTTCTTACCATTTTAATTCTTCAACAGCAGTATAGTTCATTTCTCAATATGATCTTTAATCTCACTTAAGAAATGTTTAACAAAGCGACCGAGAATTATAAGGCCTATTAGTAAAAATGTGTCCAATTTGGGGTAAGAAAAGTGTGTGTGATTTTACCCTCAGACTTACCAAATGTCTAAATTCAACAGAGAGACTTCCATTGGAAGATTCTTCAATGGACATGGCTTTAACATGTGTCCCACAAAGGACAAATCTTCGGTTGCTAGAGAGGAAATCTCGGTCATTTATATGGCCTCAAGTACAATGTATTTCTAAGAATAGTAAAAAAGTTCTACAATATAAACATCTT